TAAAAATGAATAATGCAATAAATGAGATCAAAAACACTCTGGAGGGAACCATGAGTAGAATAACAGAGACAGAAGATAGGATAAGTGAGGTAGAAGATAAAATGGTGGAAATAAATGAAGCAGAGAGGAAAAAAGAAAAAAGAATCAAAAGAAATGAGGACAACCTCAGGGACCTCTGGAACAATGTGAAATGCCCCAACATTTGAATCATAGGAGTCCCAGAAGAAGAAGACAAAAAGAAAGGCCATGAGAAGTTACTCGAGGAGATAATAGCTGAAAACTTCCCTAAAATGGGGAAGGAAATAGCTACCCAAGTCCAAGAAACCCAGAGAGTCCCAAACAGGATAAACCCAAGGCGAAACACCCAAGACACATATTAATCAAATTAACAAAGATCAAACACAAAGAACAAATATTAAAAGCAGCAAGGGAGAAACAACAAATAACACACAAAGGGATTCCCATAAGGATAACAGCCGGTCTATTAATAGAAACCCTTCAGGCCAGAAGGGAATGGCAGGACATACTTAGAGTAATGAAAGAGAATAACCTACAACCTAGATTACTGTACCCAGCAAGGATCTCATTCAGATATGAAGGAGAACTCAAAAGCTTTACAGACAAGCAAAAGCTGAGAGAATTCAGCACCACCAAACCAGCTCTTCAACAAATACTAAAGGGTCTTCTCTAGACAGGAAACACAGAAAGGTGGTATAAACGTGAACCCCAAATAACAAAGTAAATGGCAACGGGACCATACCTATCAATAATTACCTTAAATGTAAATGGGCTGAATGCCCCAACCAAAAGACAAAGGCTGGCTGAATGGATACAAAAGCAAGACCCCTATATATGCTGTCTACAAGAGACCCACCTCAAAGCAAGGGACACATACAGACTAAAAGTGAAGGGTTGGAAAAAAATATTTCACTCAAACGGAGACCAAAAGAAAGCAGGAGTCGCAATACTCATATTAGATAAAATAGACTTTCAAATAAAGGCTGTGAAAAGAGACAAAGAAGGACACTACATAATGATCAAAGGATCAATCCAAGGAGGAGATATAACAATTATAAATATATATGCACCTGACATAGGAGCACCACAATATGTAAAGCAAATACTAACGAGTATGAAAGAGGAAATTAATAGTAACACAATAATAGTGGGAGACTTTAATACCCCACTCACAACTATGGATAGATCAACTAAACAGAAAATGAACAAGGAAACACAAACTTTAAAGGACACAATGGACTAGCTAGACCTTACTGACATCTATAGGACGTTTCACCCCAAAACAATCAACTTCACCTTTTTCTCAAGTGCACACGGAACCTTCTCCAGAATAGATCACATCCTGGGCCACAAATCTAGTCTTGGTAAATTCAAAAAAATTGAAATCATTCCAGTCATCTTTTCTGACCACAGTGCAGTAAGATTAGATCTCAATTACAGGAAAAAAATTATCAAAAATTCAAACATATGGAGGCTAAACAACACACTTCTGAATAACCAACAAATCATAGAAGAAATCAAAAAAGAAATCAAAATATAAGTGGTGTTGGGAAAACTGGTCAACCACTTGTAAAAGAATGAAACTAGGACACTTTCTAACACCATACACAAAAATAAACTCAAATGGATTAAAGATCTAAATGTAAGACCTGAAACTATAAAACTCCTAAAGGAGAACATAGGCAAAACACTCTCCTACATAAATCACAGCAGGATCCTCTATGATCCACATCCCAGAATATTAGAAACAAAAGCAAAAATAAACAAATGGGACCTAATGAAACTTAAAAGTTTTTGCACAACAAAGGAAACTATAAGCAAGGTGAAAAGACAGCCCTCAGATTGGGAGAAAATAATAGCAAACGAAGCAACAGACAAAGGATTAATCTCAAAAATATACAAGCAACTCCTCCAGCTCAACTCCAGAAAAATAAATGACCCAATCAAAAAATGGGCCAAAGAACTAAACAGACATTTCTCCAAGGAAGACATACAGATGGCTAACAAACACATGAAAAGATGCTCAACATCACTCATTATCAGAGAAATGCAAATCAAAACCACAATTAGGTACCATTACACGCCAGTCAGGATGGCTGCTATCCAAAAGTCTACAAGCAATAAATGCTGGAGAGGGTGTGGAGAAAAGGGAACCCTCTTACACTGTTGGTGGGAATGCAAATTAGTACAGCCACTATGGAAAACAGTGTGCAGATTCCTTAAAAAACTGGAAACAGAACTGCCATATGACCCAGCAATCCCACTTCTGGGCATACACACCGAGGAAACCAGATCTGAAAGAGACACGTGTACCCCAATGTTCATCGCAGCACTGTTTATCATAGCCAGGACATGGAAGCAACCTAGATGCCCATCAGCAGACGAATGGATAAGGAAGCTGTGGTACATATACACCATAGAATATTACTCAGCCATTGAAAAGAATTCATTTGAATCAGTTCTAATGAGATGGATGAAACTGGAGCCCATTATACAGAGCGAAGTAAGCCAGAAAGATAAAGACCATTACAGTATACTAACACATATATATGGAATTTAGAAAGATGGTAACGATAACCCTATATGCAAAACAGAAAAAGAGACTCAGATGTATAGAACAGACTTGTGGTCTCTGTGGGAGAAGGCGAGGGTGGGATGTTTCAAGAGAACAGCATCGAAACATGTATATTATCTAGGGTGAAACAGATCACCAGCCCAGGTTGGATGCATGAGACAAGTGCTCAGGCCTGGTGCACTGGGAAGACCCAGAGGGATCGGGTGGAGAGGGAGGTGGGAGGGGGGATCGGGATGGGGAACACATGTAAATCCATGGCTGATTCATGTCAATGTATGACAAAACCCACTACAGTATTATAAAGTAATTAGCCTGCAACTAATAAAAAAAAAAAAAAGAATACCGGAGTGGGTTGCCATTTCCTACTGCAGGGAATCTTCGTGACCCAGGTATCAAACCCGTCTCTTGCATCTCCTGAATTGGTGCCTGGGTTCTTTACCACTGTGCCACATGGGAAGCACCACCCCCCCACCAAAGAAAAGGACAAATGAACTCACTTACAAAACAGCAGTAAAGTACAGGTATAGGAAACAAACTTTTGGTTACGGGGAGGGGGAGGGATAAATTGGGAGATTGGGATTAATTTATACACACTACTATATATAATAAATAACTAATAAGAACCTGTTGTATAGCACAGGGAACTCTACTGAACACTCTAATGCTCTATATGGAAAAATAATCTAAAGAAAGGAGCGGGTATATGTCTATGTATAACTGGTTCACTTTGTTGTATACCCGAAACTAACACATGATTATACATCAACTATATTCCAATAAAAATTTTTTAAAAAGACAAGGAAGGAAAATCAACAGAACCCAATGGGCAAGGGGAGAGAAAAGAGCTGCAAGATATATTATGAAATATAAATAAATGTAAAATAAGTAAACTATGTATTAAGAGTGGATAAAATAAAAATACACATTGAATAAATTATGGTAATCTATATTTTCATACAGTCATAGAAAGATCTTTAAAATTATGCAGTGTAAAAAGTTGTGCAAAAGTAAAGATTGCCATTTGATGACATTTATGATAAACAACAAAATTGATGGAATATATTTTATAGTTAGAGGGGTGAATATGGATGATTGTGACTCATTTCATGTTTTAGCATAAGGCATGTCCTAGTCTAAATGTGCTATTTTGCTTGGCCTAGACATTTGTCCTTGCTTTCTGCTGCCATAAATCAGCATGTATCAGACAGAGCTATAAATTTTACAATCTTGATTTTTTTGACATTATCACCTGTGACAATTGAGAAGCTAGGCATCTACACATTGAACCTGAGGCTCCTGTGAGATTACCAGACTTAGCAAACAAAAATACAAGACATTTGATTCAATCTGAATTTCAGGTAAACAATGAATAACTTTTTAGTATACGTCTGTTCCATGCAGTATTTGGAATACACTAATACAAAAAAACTGGACATGGACCAACAGACTGGTTCCAAATAGGAAAAGGAGTACGTCAAGGCTGTATATGTTATCCTGCTTATTTAACTTATACGCAGAGTACATCATGAGAAACGCTAGGCTGGATGAAGCACAAGCTACAATCAAGATTGTTGGGAGAAATATCAATAAACTCAGATATGCAGATGACACCACCCTTATGGCAGAAAGTGAAGAGGAACTAAAAAGCCTCTTAATGAAAGTGAAAGAGGAGAGTGAAAAAGCTGGCTTAAAGCTCAACATTCATAAAACTAAGATCATGGCATCTGGTCCCATCACTGCATGGGAAATAGATGGGGAAACAGTGGAAACAGTAGCTGACTTTATTTTTTGGGCTCCAAAATCACTGCAGATGGTGACTGCAGCCATGAAATTAAAAGATGCTTACTCCTTGGAAGGAAAGTTATGACCAACCTAGATAGCGTATTAAAAAGCAGAGACATTACTTTGCCAGCAAAGGTCCATCTGGTCAAGGCTATGGTTTTTCCAGTGGTCATGTATGGATGTGAGAGTTGGACTATAAAGAAAGCTGATCAGAGAAGAATTGATGCTTTTGAACTGTGGCATTGGAGAAGACTCTTGAAAGTCCCTTGGACTCCAAGGAGATCCAACCACTCCACCCTAAAGGAGACCAGTCCTGGGTGTTCATTGGAAGGACTGATGCTGAAGCTGAAACTCCAATACTTTGGTCACCTCATGCGAAGAGTTGACTCATTGGAAAAGACCCTGATGTTGGGAGGGATTGGGGGAAGGAGGAGAAGGGGATGACAGAGGATGAGATGGTTGGATGGCATCACCGACTCGATGGATATGAGTTTGAGTCAACTCCGGGAGTTGGTGATGGGCAGGGAGGCCTGGCGTGCTGCGATTTATGGGGTCACAAAGAGTCAGACATGACTGAACGAATGAACTGAACTGAACTGAATATAAAAAAAAAGTTGGTGCTTACCTGAAATTTAAATTTAGCTGGATGTCCTCCATTTTCTCTGATAATCCTAGGGTCTGAATGTCTTGCTTTCAAAACCGATGTTACCAAGGTGAACTGGTTGTTATTGGATCATTTAATTAAGTACTATGAGAGAGATGAACTCATGAAAGGACTGGCTAATTTGCAGGTAAAAATGAGAAGGAATGTGAAGAGTATATTATTTAGAAGGTTAGAAAATGGAACTGACCACTGAAGCAGTTTTGGTGGAAAAAGATAAAATTAAACCTATAGCTAGCATGTCTTGAGACCCAGGTTCAATCCCTAGGTGGGGAAGATCCCCTGGAGAAGGAAATGGCAACCCACTCCAGTATTCTTGCCTGGAGAATCCCATGGACAGAGGAGCCTGGTGCGCTGCAGTCCATGGGGTCACAAAGAGTCACACACGACTGAGTGACTAACACTTTCACTTTAGCATGCCTTTTCTTAAAAGGACTAATTAGATTAATGTGGTGTCTAGTAAATCCTTTCATTTGTACAAAATGTTACAGGGAAAAGATAAAAGTAGGTAGTCATATGATAACTTGTATGGTAATATCCCTTAATATTGTTAGGATACATTTTAAAAGCAAAAATGACAGTGATATCACATAATATTTATCTTTCTCTGTCTGACTTCTTTCACTTGGTATAGTCATCTCTAGGTCCAACAATGTTGCTGCAAACGGCATTATTTTTTTCTTTTTAATGGTGAATAATATTCCATTGTATTTTTGTACCACATCTTCTTTATCCATTCACTGTTTATGGGCATTGAGGTTGCTTCTATGTCTTGGCTACTGTAAATATTGTTCCATGAACAGAATCAGCTCTTAAGATTAAGGAGAATCCTTCAAATATCTGATGATTCAGTGTATTAGTAAGGGCTCTCTAGAGAAACAGAACCAATAGGATATCTATCTATCTAGAAGACTATTTATTATGGAAGGCTATCTCATGCACTCATGGACTGTGGTGGTGGTTTAGTTACTAAGTCAGGTCTGACTCTTGTGACCCCATGGACTGTAGCCTACCAGACTCCTCTGTCCATGGGATTTTCCAGACAAGGATACTGGAGTGGGTCGCCATTTTCTTCTCCAGGAGATCTTCCACACCCAGGGATCAAACCCAGATCTCCTGCATTGCAGGCAGTCTCCTGCATTTCAGGTGGATTCTTTACCGACTGAGCCACCAGGGAAACCCCAAATCTGTCATGTGCCAGCTGGAGGCCCAGGAAAGGTGATGGTTTAGTTTCAATCCAACCCACAGCCTTGAGAACCAGGGGACTCAGTGGTGTAAGTTCTAGTCTGAGTCTGGAAGTTCTGGAACCAGAAGCTTGGATGTCCTTGGGGCGGGAGTGTAAGAATGTCTCATCTCAGGCAGCACAGATTCATCTTCCTCCTTTTTGTTCTTGTGAGTCCCACAAGGGATTTGAAGATGCCTACCTTCATTGGAGAGAGTAGTTTTCTTTACTAAGTCTACCAATTCAAATGCTAACTTCTTCTGGAAACACCCTCACAGACACACCCAAATAATGTTTTATCAACTTTCTGGGCACTCCTTATCCCAGTCAATTTCATGCATAAATCTAACCATCACACTCAGATGTGGCCATCAGCTCTGAGGGAAAGTTCTTATAACTTGGATTGTCTCAGTTAAATTCAGTTCAGTCGCTCAGTCATGTCCGACTCTTTGCGACCCCATGGACCGCAGCACGCCAGGCCTCCCTGTCCATCACCAGCTCCTGGAGCCTACCCAGACTCATATCCATTGCGTTGGTGATGCCATCCAGCCCTCGCATTCTCTGTTGTCTCCTTCTCCTCCTGCCCTCAATCTTTCCCAGCATCAGAGTTTTTCCAGTGAGTTGTCTCTTTGCATCAGGTGGTCAAAGTATTGGAGTTTCAGCTTCAGCATCAGTCGTTCCAATGGACAATCTAAATGAACAATAATGCTTGCACTAATTAGACGAATTTACTCAGACTTCTGAGAATACTTTACAATACTGGAGACAGTCTGCCCATGATTTCTCTCTTTTTTTCACGTGAAAGCATCTGCTCACAATCTTGAAACTGAAAGGTGTCATCCGTGAGTTCTTTACCACCTAAACCGCCAGGACTTGCCTTCGTTCACAATCTTGGACAAGTTGAAATATGCAGTGATTCCAAGGTTACTCCTTGCATCCCGCCTCCTCAAATCCATCCCCTCCAGCGCCCCTGTGTGGCCAGGAGAGAGAACTACTTCAGTCTGTGTTACTGCTCTTGCTCCACACGTGACCAAAGACAAAGCCTGTGGCTCAGACGGTAAAAAGCCCGCCTGCTGATGCAGGGGATATAAATGATATGGGTTCGATCCCTGGGTGAGTCTGCTGGGCTGCAGTCCATGAGGTTACAAAAAGTCAGACATGGCTGATCAAATAACACTTTTTCACATTCCTAACAGGAATGACTGACTTTTTCTCCAATGTCTGTCTTTCTGTGTAAGTCTAGGTAATTCCCCCGGGCCAGCTCTGTCTTGATTTTCCTCATCATCCCCACCGTCAGGAATCTTCTCATCTGGTGACTTTCAGCTCATGTTGGATTACCAAGATAAAGTATCCACTTTCATTTTGGCTGTGCTGGGTCTTCACTGCAGTGCGTGGGCTTCTCTGGTTGTGACACTTGGGCTCTTAGGCTCTCCAGGGCTGGAGCCCATGTTCCGCTGTTCCCTGACAGGTGGGGTCCTACTTACACTGAGACTGAGCTGATCCCAGACCAGAGACTGAACCTGCATCCCTGGCACTGGAAGGTGCATTCTTAACCGCTGGACCACCAGGGAAGTTTCATGGCCTTAGATTTTAATTGAACAGCTGCTTTGTTATCTAACTCACACTTTTTTAAAAAATTGCATCCTAAATTTTACAATGTAGAGGTAAGGAGTAGTTCCCTGTGTGTGTTCTTTGGGAAGCAGTGGAAAATTATTTATTTTTAAATTACCATTAAAACCTTAAAAGCTCATAAAAATATAAAGCACCAACCCAGTATGATTACAAAATTTAACAAAATGGCAGAACCTAAACAAGTTGGTAGCTCAGACGGTAAAGCATCTGCCTGCAATGCAGGAGACCTGGGTTCAATCCCTGGGTCGGGAAGATCCTCTAGAAAAGGAAATGGCAACCCACTGCAGTACTCTTACCTGGAAAATTCAATGGATGGAGAAGGCTGGTGGGCTACAGTCCATGGGATCGCAAAGAGTCGGACATGACTGAGCAACTTCACTGGTTCAAACAAATTTTGTTACTTTTAAGAGGTGAGCATGTTTTAATGTTTTAATATACGTATAGTAATAGTGATCATTACATGCCTGCTTTTTGACTTTTCGTGGTCAGCCTTGGAGCTGTCCCGGCACCTGTGGGTATGGTTAGCATGCTGATATGTTACAATGAGCATATACTGAGGGTCAAGGTCTAGTGAAAGTCAACTCATCTGCCATCTTGGACCTAGTTGGTTCCAAACAGTTTATGTTGTGTCCTTCTGCTGTCATCCTTTTAAAAGTTGTGCCCTGTCGCCTTCCTGTCCCAGCTGCATAGGGCCTTATTTCCACCTGGGGTCTTTGGTGAGTGGGATGGAAGCCTCCCTGGATGAGGCAACACATTCATCTCTGCATTTTCCTCTGGATCCTCATGGTGACAGTTTCCATGGGAACACACTGGGGTGCATGAATCCCAGATTGCTGCATGAGAACAATTGTCACTAGGTGCTCTACAATTTTTATCTGCTGAATCATTTCCTGGCCCGTTAGCCATACATTCTGGACACTGAACAGAAGGATAAATCTCCAAGCTCAAAGAGTTCTAAACGATGTAATAAAAATCCAGATTTCTGATTGGTTGGAGGAAAACCTCATGAGAGGATCATGGGTTTATCCTATAATTCCAGCTCTGAGTGGTTCTGTCTGAGGCATCATTCTACTAAGTGATCCTGAAATTTGTTTCACTCTAATTGCCATCGCTATGGTTATACATTTCTGAACAAAGATACTATTCATTGATACGTGACAATACAGAGAAGGAATTTATGTTTTAGACAAAAGTGCCCATTATGACATATCTCATGTGGAGGTTGCCTTAAACCTCTAGTGGCTGATATAGAGTAAGCCATGCATGGCTGCCAGTAAATTAAATTATGTCAGCTTTGCCATAAACCTACCATCTGAAGTGCTTACAAATAAAAACCTGAAATGCACTAGGCCATCAAAAGATAATACCATGTGCTTAAATTTCCTCTCAGTGTTTCCTTCTCCAATCTCTTCTCATCATCTGTTTTTGCTCTACCTGAGCATATTGAGAGTGTAAACCATATATCTTTTCTTCTCTTTTGAAATAAGCAAATATTCCAATTAACAATTGTCTGAATGATAGGCTTAATTTTTTTCTTTCTCATTTAGATAAATATAATTTAATCTATTTGGTGTAGGCAGATGTGTACACCCACATTAATTTTTAGTTTTGATTTTTTCATTTTGTAATTTTACTAAACGCTGTATTTTATTTTGGGGCACAACTTAAACACTGTCAGGAAAGTTTGATGAAACTTTACAAATAACGGTGTCTACATTTGAGGACTACAGTGAGTTGTTTTCCAAAACTGGTGCGATGAAAAATAACATTGTCTGCAGGTTAAGCTAGGAAATAATTAAAAAAAAAACCAAATAGATCTCTAATGAATAAAAGCAGGGGTTTATGAAGTCATCATACTGGGTTATAATATTAACACAGGCTTTGTTGTAACTGAGTGAAGGAATCAAGATATTTAAATAGAAAAGGTGTCCTTTGGAAAGGGGATTTCCGAGAGTAAGCATGGCCACTTGACGTCCTCTTGGTACACTTTCTTCTTGGCCACTCTTAGTGATGATGAATACACAAGAAGGTCAAGTGTTGCCAGAATTTGATGCTGTTACGGTGCGTGATCCTGCCAGTCTTTCCCACTCTCTGCTCTCTACTTGCAATGTGGTAGCATGTGCCTCGGGACGACAGAGAAAG